AGTGTTTTTATTTCTCTACCTTACAGACCTCCCTAGGGATATATTTTTATTTACTTAGAACTAACTAGGTTGTGACTCAGACTACATAACCACACAAAGTGAGCAGGAGGGAATGAGAACAAATGCTGACATCTGTTTTCAAACTTTTTCCATAAACATTTGAGCCAATACACAAGAATGTTCTAATGTTTCCCCAACACAAAAGGAATATAAACATGGCCTAAGAAGTGGATTCATTTAGAAGTTCTAACGAGTATTCACAGATATTTTTTGTAAAAGCAGCAAAGAGTCCTGTGGCACCTTATAGACTAACAGACGTATAGGAGCATGAGCTTTCGTGGGTGAATACCCACTTCTTCGGATGCATGTAGTGGAAATTTCCAGGGGCAGGTATAAATATGCAAGCAACAGTGAGTAAGGCTAGAGATAACCAGGTTAGTTCAATCAGGGAGGATCAGGCCCTCTTCTAGCAGTTGAGGTGTTGAGATATTTTTTGGTCAGCTCTACTCCCTTTTACTCTGTATGGAGAACAAAACCAAAAACCCCAGTTTTACTGAAGTGTCACCAGGAGGCTTTGCTCTACATTTACAAGTTAGGAGACAAGCAGTTAAACTTATGACTCATCCCAATGGTCGACAAAAGGATTCAGCCAATTAGCAAAGTAATGTTTGTTATACATGCATCATCCGTGAGCTGGTCATTCTGACCTCACGTAGATGGGATTTAAAGGTGTGAAGTTAATATATTTGAGCTAATGCATTTTAGAAGTCTAGTGTAAACAAGGACCCCGAAGGGAAATTCTGGCCCCATTTCAGCCAGTGGGAGTTTTACCATTGACTTCAATGGGGCCAGGATTCCACCCTCTGCCGTTAACCTATGCTGAGCTAGTCGAGTTGATTCAACCTACTTAGCATGTGTTAAAGGCAGTGTGCCTTCCCTACTCTAGACTCTTATAACCTGTTTGCTAACACATGCTAACATCACATCTTTAAAACCTAATCTATACAAGGCCTTTGAAAATGAACATGCAAGGTGCTGAGCGCTCTCTGTACCCAATGATCTCCATGGGAGCTGAGGGCGAAAAGCACCTGACCGGATGGAGTGCCTTACCACAAACATGCAATTGGACAGCTGACAGCTGGCTCTCACCACACTGGCTTCCCTCCCCAGCGAACGTCAAGCTGTCTCTCTCTTGCTCCTGATGCCTTGTCTCACTCTAACAGCCGGCTTCCTCAGACAGGCTATTGCCTCTGACAACCAGCTTCAGACATGTCCCAACAACGCTTCGCTCCTTTACAGCACTTTCCATCCATCTACCTAAAAGTGCTTCAAAAAAGACAAATCTCATTATCCCCATTTTACAGATGGGGAAGCTGAGGCACAGAGCAGCTTAGCGACAGTGCAAGGACTAAAACCCAGGTCTCCTAACATTCAGTCCAGTGCCTTGTCTACTGCACCACACTGCTTCCCCGAGGAAGCAATGCTCTCCAGTGGCCTATAGGACAGGACATGCTCACCACTGAGAGATCACTTATAATTCCCGTCCTCTGTTTCAAATTCATCACTCTGTCTTTTGTCCCCACTCTCCTAAGTTATCTTGCTTGTCACCTGCTATCTCCGGTAGCTCAACAGTGACAGCTTGTCCCTCCTAGCAACAGTTGGGCATGGGCTAAGGTCCCCCTTCAGAGGAGTCAATTCATCTTTATGGCAGTTAGTTTTATTAGATGATATAGGACTATTTAAATCTAGCTGGTAAGGGCAGAGATGAAAGTCTGCACAAAGCTGTTTGTTTTAGCCAATTCCTTCATCGATCTTTTTGGATAAAGAAACATTTCAACTAACTTCCAAGAAAAAAGTACTTACCTCCATTGCTATAAATACAATCCACTTTGCTGATAACACTCCCTTTTGCATGCCTGACTCTGTATGTCCTCATGCTAACTGGAATGCAGGCTGCAAGCAACAGCCACAGTAGAGGGACCACGTGTGCTGTGGTGCCTTAGTTCAAAGTGGGATGAGGAATTGGTAACCTTAGGCTGGATTGGCACATTGCAATCCAGCCTGAGTAAAGGCCAGCGTGTCACTGCACTGCTCCAAGAGCAGAGCCGGGAACAAACTGTGATTGTGAGAACCCCAATTCAGTCCCTCGCTCCACAGGGGAAGTAATCTGTGTCAGCCCTTTTCCTGGTGCAATTTACTTCCCTCTCTGTGCTGGCCAGCATATCGGAGTGGGAGTAGAGCCAAAGCTGTGCCCACCCCTCCCCTCCGCCCACCCATTCCCTGCCCTCCTGAGTGAAGAAAAAGTAGTGTCCTTCCCTCCCAGGCACAGACTGGCAATCCAGATAGGTGCTTATACTATGTCCAGGCGGCTTATGCAACTCATGACTGAGCCCAATAATCCTTCTATCCTATAATACACCTCTACCCCGATATAACGCGGTCCTCGGGAGCCAAAAAATCTCACCGTGTTATAGGTGAGTCCGCGTTATATCAGGGTAGAGAGAGGAACCGCTCCCCGCCCCAGCTCACCTCCTCTCTGCCTCCGCCTCCTCCCTGAGCGCGCCGCCGCCGCTCCGCTTCTCCCTCCCTCCTTCCCTTCCAGGCTTGCCACGCCAATCAGCTGATTGGCGCGGCAAGCCTGGGAGGGAGGGGGGAAGCGGAGCTGCAGCGTGCTCGTGGGAGGAGGCAGAGCGGAGGTGAGCTGGGGCGGGAGGGTCCCGGGGAGGGTCGCAGCAAGTAACGGGGGGCGCAGAGGAACCGCTTCAGCTCATCTCCGCCTCCTCCCCTGCGCGCGCCGCCGCCGCTCCAAAGGCAAAGCCTAAGAGGGTGACTAAGACAGCCTAAAGCTATGTTTGTGCCCTCCAAATTCTGGGCCAGCACTCAACCTCTGGGGCTGCTCTAACTTAGAGAAGCTTCCCAGAGCCCTTTATAAGCTGCTTTTCTGGCTAGCACACAGATTTGCACAGGAATACGTATGCTATCCTATGCCACCCAAGGAACATCTCCACTCTGGGAGAATACCTGTCACAAGGCAGGGGGAGGTCTCCCTGGGTTCTGGCACAAAGGGATGGAACATGGCCCAGAATCAAGGCCAATGTGTCTAGCAAAAATCAGTCAAGGTTTCCTTAACATATCGTCCTTGTGCTACAGTTACTCACTAATCATATCAGAAAGATGATAATGCACCTGCACAACTGATCGTTTAGTAATTCCATGATCCAAACTAATCTACTTCTTCAGCAATTTTATAGATGCTATAACTGCCTCATTATGATTACTGTTGAACAGCACTATAATTCTGCATTGCCATAAAATGTATTCAGTTGCAAGTCCTGTTTTTTCTACTGACCAGCTCACACACTTGAACCAGCCCTCTTTTAAAGCAACACTAACAAATCCTGAAGTTAAGAAAGACTATAGGAACCTACAGGTGTTCAAATAAATTCAAGGAATCCCAATCATCCATACCTTGTAAAGAATATTCTGTAGACATAAAGGTCAGATTCCAGCACACACCATGTGCCCTACACACTACTCAAGAGAACAAGCAAACTTAAAGCTGCCTTGAGTGGGTTGCTTAGGATTGCCCAAAGGTGGGGGAATCCTTAGCTATCATAGAGACAGTGTAGCCCTCACCCCTCCCTGCATGTAGGGTCATGCCAGCCATGAGAAGGGGCATGGCTGAAGTTTACAGTGCTCCACCAATCCCCAGCTGATGTAACTGTCCCTAGGGTCATTACAAACTGGTATGGTTTAGAACACCCTTGAAGCTACTCTAAACTACACTGGGACAGTGTAGGTGTAGACAGGGAGCAGCAAATGGTTCTTTTGAGATTCCCCACTTCAGATGCACCCAACTGGGTGTGCTTTGAGTGCAGCTGACGGTTCAGCCCATGGCTACATTTTGAATACACAAACAGCTCAATATTGTTTTGCATATTTAGATAACCAACACATTTGCTACTGTTCTGAAAAATTACATGTAAAATTCAAGGTTTGCCATCAGTGAAGAAGATTGCTTTTTTTCCCTGTCATTATTATTCACAGTACAACTGTGCTGGAAAAACTGGAAAATAAAAGCTCTCTGTAACAGTGGGTTAGCATCATTAGTCCAATTCTAAAATGGGGAAAATGAGGCACAGTGAGGCTAAGGGAATAAAACCAATTTTCCCAGCTCCCAGCCTGGCGTGGGATGTCATCACAGTTTCACATGACAGAAGTGGGTAATCTGACAGCATCTCCACATTTTAATTGACTGAAAGCCTCCACTTCTAGTACTGTTCATGTTAAAAGGGGTACTTAGAGTGCCCAAGTTTTGCATTCTTCCCACAAGTCCCAGCTTTTTCTAAAGGGCAAAAAGGAAAATTGACAGATTTGAAAATAAGCTGGATAAAAGAAAAACGCTGAGCCTTTCAGTCCTGAAAGTTTCCACTCAGACTATGGGCAGTTCTAGCTAAAAATGTAACAGAAACTTAGAGCCAGATTCTCATCTGGTGTAAATTGGCAGAATTCCTTTGACAGCAACGAGGCTATGCTTGTTTATACCAGCAAAGAGCTTGCCCTTAATATTCACATTAAAATATGCTCATTCGTGGGTGTGTGAAAGCAGGGAACCTCACACATCCCCATGCAAGAGGGAGAAATAATCGCCTGCCAGGACCTAGAGTGCAAAGGAAAAGGGGCACATAGTTCTGTCCAGAGCTCTGACAAGCCCCAGGCAGGGCCTCATTTCTGGACAGGGGCATGGCTCCACTTCCCATGCAACAGAATGACTGAAGGAAACATGCCACACCTGTTAAATGTAGGATAATGCATCCAGGTAACAGTGCTCCTGCAGTGTGTCCATTCCCATCCCCAACACTGCTCTGCCTCTAGAGGAGGCACAAGATTTAATATAGATATAATAATATTTCAGTGCAACAGCTCTTTAACTAGCCAGTAAAACTGCCATATTGGTATGCAAGACCCATTTTACAGCAATCCAAGAGAATGTGCCATACCTGTATGTGATTTTCACTTCAGTGCCAGGCTCATCTTTCTCCCAGATCAAAGCCACTCTGTCTGGAGATTGATGGACATGTTGGTCTAAACAGTTTACTGTATGAAAAGAAATATTTAAGAAAGCATTTTATTTGTTTTGTATTAAAGTCAAAGATGTTTGCAATTTGGCTAACTTAGCTCCCTGGTCATACATGCATGGAAATGAGTATGAGGTGAAATATCAGAAGTTAGCTAAATAGACATGCAATCATCTACATTATTTGGAAAGTTTTTATTTAAGCTATTCACAGTGATGCACTGGTCGTCATACCTCAATTTGATCAGTAAACAGCCTTATAGAAGGGCACCCACATGAAAATCCTTGAGCCAGATCCTTGGCTGGTTTAGATCAGTGTAGCTGCACTAATTTCAAAGGAGCTATGCCAACATAAACCTGCTGAGGTTCTGGCCTGCTGTGTATGCAAACAGAAGAACCGAAATTGCCTGGTGCCACTGATGCCACTATTGTCTTTTTTGACCCAGAGAGGAGTGTTTTATTGGACAGCATCTTCACGCTCTAACTGGCCAACAGACTCCACTTCTGGTATAAGGACAAGTGCAGAGTCCTGCACTTAGGACGGAAGAATCCCATTCACTGTTACAGACTAGGGACCGAGGGGCTAGGCAGCAGTTCTGCAGAAAAGGACCTAGGCGTTACAGTGGACGAGAAGCTGGATATGAGTCAACAGTGTGCCCTTGTTGCCAAGAAGGCTAACGGCATTTTGGGCTGTATAAGTAGGGGCATTGCCAGCAGATCGAGGGACGTGATCGTTCCCCTCTATTCGACATTGGTGAGGCCTCATCTGGAGTACTGTGTCCAGTTTTGGGCCCCACACTACAAGAAGGATGTGGAAAAGTTGGAAAGAGTCCAGCGGAGGGCAACAAAAATGATTAGGGGGCTGGAGCACATGAGTTATGAGGAGAGGCTGAGGGAACTGGGATTGTTTAGTCTGCAGAAGAGAAGAATGAGGAGGGATTTGATAGCTGCTTTCAACTACCTGAAAGGGGGTTCCAAAGAGGATGGAGCTCGGCTGTTCTCAGTGGTGGAAGATGACAGAACAAGGAGTAATGGTCTCAAGTTGCAGTGGGGGAGGTTTATGTTGGATATTAGGAAAAACTTTTTCACTAGGAGGGTGGTGAAGCACTGGAATGGGTTACCTAGGGAGGTGGTGGAATCTCCTTCCTTAGAGAACAGGAGTACTTGTGGCACCTTAGAGGTTTTTAAGGTCAGGCTTGACAAAGCCCTGGCTGGGATGATTTAGTTGGGAATTGGTCCTGCTTTGAGCAGGGGGTTGGACTAGATGACCTCCTGAGGTCCCTTCCAACCCTGATATTCTATGATTCTAAGGTTCCTGTTTACACTGAATGTGAAAGGAAAGTTCCTGTTTCGTGGTGATGTGGTTCTTTAGCCAACCTTACTACTGATTTTCTATTAATTTTACCATATGGCTCACAAGGACTTACAATTCTCAGTGGCAGGGCTGTTAGGTGTACCTTAAAAACCATCTGCACTTTTGGCGTATCTGAAAATTATGCAGTGGTTATTCAGCTCCACTGCTTTGGGTGTTTCACATGACATAGCCCTTTAATACACCCAGCCTGCCTTTGAAAAACAATCCAAATGTTTGTATGCCCTCTAGTTCAGCAACATAGGCTCAAAGAGTTGGATACTTTTCATATTTTCTGCTGCTGTGCCCCAGCCACACTCATAGAGAGCTGATTTTGTTTGTATAAAGACCAATGCTTAAAATTACTTTCAAACTTTTATAAACATTATCTGATAAGTTATATGGCAGTGGGAACTGGCTGGGTCCCTTCACTGTGCATTTCCGGACTTTTCAACATTTGAAGTATGTAACTTAGGTATGTAGCATAAGCTACATATTTTTCTTAAAATTCAATATAACTTCTGACAAAATGTAGTATACCTGAGGTGTCCGAGCGCCAACGGATACTTTCAGCATAAAAGTAGTTGTTCATATGCTCCCTCCCCACTCCTGTTGCATAGTGCAGAGAGGAGCAAATTTGACAGAGAAAACCACAAGAAGATGCTGGCTGGGGGAAAGTCACATGTGGGATGCTCTCTCCCAAATAACTGCGTGAGCCACATGTAAAACCAGTCAAGAATTAATGCTAGTAGACCCCAATTCAGCAGTCCATTCCTATTCAGCAAAGCACTTAAGAGCATGCTTTGGTCAGTTGGAGTCTGAAGGTATGTCTACGCTGCAATGAAAATCCCTCAGGCTCAGGCTGCGGGGCTGTTCGGTTGCAGTGTAGACTTCCAGGCTCTGGCTGCAGTCCAAGCTCTGGGATCCTCCCACCCTGCAGTGACTTAGAGCCTGGGCTCCAGCCCAAGCTCGGAAATCTACATTACAGTTAAACAGCCCGGCAGCCTGAGCCCCTGGAGCCTGAGTCAGCTGGCACAGGCCAGCCGCTGGTGTCTAATTACAGTGTAGATGATATACCCTGGGGCAGCAGTAACTCCCACTGAGTGCTCCATTACCCCCATCTGGGAGTCAAAATGTTGCTGGGGCAGTGAGTCAATGTCAGCATGACATTCTGGTGCTGCCGTGCTCCATGGCTGCATGTGAATGGGTGCTGCAAGGTACCCGAGCACAATGCACAGATTTGGGGGCAGCGATTCCCACAGGTCCCTGTCCCTCCACTTCCCCCCTAGTCCTGTCCCCTCCCCCTCTGCATGCTTGCAGATTTTTGGCTCACTTCTAGAAGAGTTTATAAAAAGAATTCTCTGTACTCGAATAAATGGTGAATGATCTCTGAGCCAAGTTTAGACTCAGAGTGCTTTTTCACAGCAGGCTTAACTGTGTGCAAATAATAATAATCATCATACCTAGCTCTTATATAATGCTTTTCTTCAGTAGATCTCAAAGCACCTCACAGTCTTTTAACCTGCCTTTGAGGGAGGGAAGTACTATCATTCCCATCTTTCAGATGGGAAACTGAGGCACAGAGAAGTTAAATGACTTGCCCAAGTTCATATAGGAAGTCTATGGTGGAGCAAGGAATGAACCTGGGAATTGAATGTCTACAACAGAAGTTCTCAATCTTTTTCTTTCTGAGCCCCCCCCCCCCCCCCCAACGTGATATAAAAACTCCATGGCCCAGCTGTGCCACAACAGCTGTTTTTCTGCAGATAAAAGCCAGGACCGGCATTAGCGGGTAGCAAGGAGAGCAATTGACCGGGGCCCCACACCACAGGGGGCACCACAAAGCTAAGTTGCTCAGGTTTCAGCTTCAGGCCCTGGTGGTAGGTCTCGGGGGCCCAGGCTGCAGTCCCATGTGGTGGGGCTTTGACTTTCTGCCCTGGGCCCTAGCAAGTTTGATGCCAGCCATGCTTGGCGGCCCCCCTGAAACCTGCTTTTGGCCCCCCAAGGGGCCTCGGACCCCAGATTGAGAACCATTGATCTATAGCATCCCTGGCATATAATGAGTTAAGCTATAAGAAAGTTAGGGCATAAGAAGATAAGTTGAGATTTCTTTGGTTCAAAAGTTGTGTCCACTGTTTGTTACATTTGCGGCTTTGGTGCAGTCAGTTAAATACCATAAAAAAACCAAAACACACTAATTTGAGTGAGTGATGCTGTGAACTGGCACCACTCAAATTTGGCAAGGCTACGCCTCTGTCCTGACAGGCAGGTGCAGGTGTGTGTAGAGGTGTCCCCAAAACAGAGGTGTGAGGGCGTTGCAGGGCAAGGGGGCCTTCAGGACAGAGGTATGGGTTCCCTCTGGGCAGAGATGTGGGGGGTGCAGACCTAAACTCTTGTTTTGTAATTGACAAGATGTGGAGTTGGCAGCAGAGTCCTTTACCCTTCAACAGGGGCTGGAAACCTGCCCCCCATTCCTCCAATCTGCAGGGCAGGGCAAGCCCTTGAGCCAGCCCCAGAGACCCATGGAGGCCTTGTGCGGGACAAGCATCACCAGGGCTCCCTTGTCCCAGCCCTGTGGGATGCACAAGCCCCAGCCCTTACTCAGACACACTCACTGGGGCCTCCCTGAGCTCCTCCCTGTAGTAAGCGAAGGCCCTAATAAAGGCCCAGTATGAGGCCTAAGGCCTGAACTAAAGTAATGGTCAAGACTTGGCTAAGAAGCAAAGTCAGGCTGTGAGCTGAAGGCCGGCTCGGTTCACAGAAGCTGGCAGGAAAAGGACTGATGTTGCGTAAATATATTTACCAAACAAAGTTAAAGTACAAACATGGTACCAAAACACTCTATACTGGAACATTCCACAGATAACATGCAACAGGCCGACCCATTCCAATGACAGGGGCAAAAGGGTAAAATGATGGATGGAGTTGTTTTGATCGAACCAATCTGTACAAGGTGAGAGGCGGCACCTTACTACGTAGTGGGGTTGTACCTTGCTGCGTAGAGGGGTTGCACCTCAGTACGTCAGGAGTGATGTGTAACTTGTTTGTACCTGTGTATAAGAATGTATCCCTGGGGTGGTGTCTTTGTCCGACCGAGGGGGCAGTGGAAAGTCCCGCCACTGACTGAGCCCCTTTATAAAGCAGCGCACAAACGACCAGGGGCTGCTAACAGGGAGTTTCGCAAGGGAGTTTGGAAGTGGAGTGGGAAGGGGGCGAGGGTCCCTTGCCGGTTCTATCTGTTTTCCCTTTATTCCCCTTAAAACCTAAACTTCTTGCTTAAACAACCCTTTCAGCGGACAGGGGGCTGCAGATGGGAGTTTGACAGAGGGAGGCTTACGATGGTTAGGAAGACCCGCAACACCTGTGCCAGCACTGTTTCTGTCTCCTCCACCTGTGCCTGTAGCCAGACAGAGCGCCTGAGCATGGATGCTTCTACCCAGATCCTGGTGTGGTTTTGCAGAGACTGTAACTTGCAATTTCCACTTACTGATATCCAGGCTGGGGGGACCATCCAATGTGAAAGGTGCCTGCTGGTGGAATCTCTCAGGCAGCAGGTGGGAGAGCTACAGGAGGAGGTGGCTAGGTTGAGGAGCATCCGAATCCACGAGCAATTCCTGAACAGTGTCCATGTGGAGACAGCTGAGGTAGCTGTCCCAGTACACAGGACTGCTGATACACCACTGGTGGAGGAGGAGATGGCTCAGGGTGGACACTGGCAGCTGGTTACTTCTGGCAGCAGGCAGTGCTCCACCCCTGCTCCGAACCCTCCCACCGTGGTAATAGGTAACCGTTATGCTCTTCTTGATACAGGAAAGAAGGAATCACCCCCTACAGTAAAGGAGGAGAAGCCTCGTACCCCTAAGGCTGGGAGGTCTGCTGCCACCACTGCGAATAGGAAATGTAGGGTAGTGGTGGTCGGAGACTCTCTGCTGAGGGGGACGGAGGCGCCCATCTGTCGCCCTGACATTTCATCTCGGGAGGTATGCTGCCTGCTGGGAGTCCGTATCCGAAATGTTACAGAGGCATTGTCGAGGATTATCCAGCCCTCTGACTACTACCCCATGCTACTCATCCATGTGGGCACAAATGATACTGCGCGGTGTGACACTGAGCGGATCAAGAGTGACTACAGGGCTCTGGGAGTACGGGTGAAGGAGTTTGGAGCACAGGTGGTATTAGATGCATCATGGAGGTGAATGCCTGGCTGCGAAGATGGTGTCGCCAGGAGGGCTTTGGCTTCCTAGACCACGGGATGCTATTCGAGGAAGGACTGCTAGGCAGAGATGGCGTTCACCTTTCGAGGAGGGGAAAGACCCTATTTGGACACAGACTGGCTAACCTAGTGAGGAGGGCTTTAAACTAGGTTCAACGGGGACAGGTGAGCAAAGCCCACAGATAAGTGGGGAACATGGAGACCTGGGAGATGGGTCGGAAACGAGAGGGAGTGTGGGCTATATTGGCAGAGAGAAAGGAGGGTCAGGACAAAACTGGGAGGAAAGATCAAACCAGTATCTTAGATGCCTATATACAAATGCGAGAAGTATGGGTAATAAGCAGGAAGAACTGGAAGTGCTAATAAATAAATACAACTATGACATTGTTGGCATCACTGAAACTTGGTGGGATAATACACATGATTGGAATGTTGGTGTGGATGGATACAGCTTGCTCAGAAAGGATAGACAGGGGGAAAAGGGAGGAGGTGTTGCCTTATATATTAAAAATGTACACACTTGGACTGAGGTAGAGATGGACATAGGAGATGGAAGTGTTGAGAGTCTCTGGGTTAGGCTAAAAGGGGTAAAAAACAAGGGTGATGTCATGCTAGGAGTCTACTACAGGCCACCTAACCAGGTGGAAGAGGAGGATGAGGCTTTTTTTAAACAACTAACAAAATCATCCAAAGCCCAAGATTTGGTGGTGATGGGGGACTTCAACTATCCGGATATATGTTGGGAAAATAACACAGCGGGGCACAGACTATCCAACAAATTCTTGGACTGCATTGCAGACAACTTTTTATTTCAGAAGGTTGAAAAAGCTACTAGGGGGGAAGCTGTTCTAGACTTGATTTTAACAAATAGGGAGGAACTCGTTGAGAATTTGAAAGTAGAAGGCAGCTTGGGTGAAAGTGATCATGAAATCATAGAGTTTGCAATTCTAAGGAAGGGTAGAAGGGAGAACAGCAAAATAGAGACAATGGATTTCAGGAAGGCGGATTTTGGTAAGCTCAGAGAGCTGATAGGTAAGGTCCCATGGGAATCAATACTGAGGGGAAAAACAACTGAGGAGAGCTGGCAGTTTTTCAAAGGGACACTATTAAGGGCCCAAAAGCAAGCTATTCCGCTGGTTAGGAAAGATAGAAAATGTGGCAAAAGACCACCTTGGCTTAACCACGAGATCTTGCATGATCTAAAAAATAAAAAGGAGTCATATAAAAAATGGAAACTAGGACAGATTACAAAGGATGAATATAGGCAAACAACACAGGAATGCAGGGGCAAGATTAGAAAGGCAAAGGCACAAAATGAGCTCAAACTAGCTAAGGGAATAAAGGGGAACAAGAAGACTTTTTATCAATACATTAGAAGC